GAACAATGATGAATCTGCGAAGCATCGCACAACATGGATAATCTGGAGGGCATTATGCTGAGTGAAATAAGTCAATCACAAAAGGACAAATATCGTATGAGACCACTACTATAAAAACTCATGAAAAGGTTTACACACAAAAAGAAACAATCTTTGATGGTTACAAGGGAGGGGAGGGGTGGGGGTGGAAAAATACTAATAGACAATAGATAAGTGGTAACTATGGTGAAGAGTAAGACAGTACACAATACTGGGGAAGCCAGCACATCTTGTTCAGGGTAAGGTTATGGAAGCTCCATGGACAAATCCAAACTCCCTTAGGGACTGAATGGCAGAGCTGAGGGCTGTGGGGACCACGGTCTCAGGGAACATCTAGTTCAACTGGCATAACATAGTTTATAAAGAAAATGTTCTACATTCTACTTTGGTGAGTAGTGTCTGGGGTCTTAAAAGCCAGTGAGTGACCATCTAAGATACTCTACTGGTCTCACCCCTTCAGGAGCAAGGGAAAATGAAGACAACTAAAGACATAAGGGAAAGATTAGTCCAAAGGACTAATAGACCACAACTACTATGGCCTCCACCAGACTGAGTCCAGTACAACTAGATGGTGGCCAGCTACCACCACTGACTGTTCTGACAGGGATCACCATAGAGGGTCCTGGACAGAGCAGGAGAAAAATGTAGTACAAAATTCTAACTCAAGAAAAATAGACCAGACTTACTGGCCTGGAGAAACCCCGAGAGTATGGCCCTTGGACACCCTTTTAGCCCAGTAACAAAGTCACTCCAGAGGTTCACCTTTTAGCCAAAGATTATACAGACCCATAGGACAAAATGAGACTAAAGGGGTACACCAGCCCAAGGGCAAGGATAAGGCAGGAGGGGACAGGAAAGCTGGTAATAGGGAACCCAAGGTCGAGAAGAGAGAGTACTGACATGTCATGGGGTTGTTAACCAATGCCATAAAACAATATATGTACTAACAGTTTAATGAGAAGCTAGTTTGTTCTGTAAAACTTCATCTAAACTTCAATTAAAAAAACAAAAAAAGATATTGCCAAGAAATGAAAAGACAAGCTACCAACTGGGAGAATATCTTTGGAAACCATGTATCTGACAAGAACATAATAACCACAATAAAACTCTGACAACTTAAAAACAAAAGGACAAATACCCCAATCATAAAATGGGCAAAGGACGTAAATAGACTTTTCACCAAAGAAGACATTCAAATGACCACCAAACACATGAAAAGGTGCTTAGCATCATTAGTTATCAGAGAGAGGCAAATCAAAACCACAATGAGATACCATTTCACTCCCACTAGGATGGATAAGATTTAAAAAAAAAAAATGTTGGTAAGGACGTGGGGAAATTGGAACCCTTATCCATTGCTGGTGGGAGTGCAAAATGATAAACCCATTGTGAAAACCAGTGTGGCGGTTTCTCAAAAAACTAAACATAGAACTACCATATGACCCAGCAATGTCACTCCTAGGTATATACTCAAAAGTCTTAAAAGCATAGACTCAAAAAGAGACTTGTACACCAATGTTCATTGCAGTACTATTCACAATAGCCAAAAAAAAAAAGGAGAAACAACCTAAATTTCCATCAGCAGATGAATGGATAAACAAAATGTGGTACACACATGCAACGGAATACTACTCAGCCAGTAGGAGAAATGAAGTCTTGATACATGCTACAGTACGGATGGAGCTTGAAGACATTGGTTGAGTGAAATAAGCCAATCACAAAAGGACATATATGGTATGACCTCACTTATATAAAAATATAAGAAAATGTAAATGTATAGAGACCAAAGTTGATTAGTGGTTATAGGGGTGGGAGGGAAGGGGGAAGGGGAGCTAATGGTGATGGAAAAATCACATTGATTAAGGGTAGGTTGCAGAGCCAATCATTGCGATTGCTGTCAATAAGTTGTACACCTGTAAAAAGTTGAATTGGCAAAAGCTGTGTAATAGCTATATTTACAACAATGACAAAAAAAAAAAAAAGAGTAGCTGCTGAGGCTGCTTATGTACAACCAAACATCTCATGGGATTTGGTTCCTTTGTGGAGGCACAGAGCCATGTTTTCATGGGACATTCCAGTTAATTGGCCTAATAACACATTTAATGCTTCTGTTCTACCTCCTAGATCTTTGTGTAGTGTCTGGGGTCTTAAAAGTTTGCAAGAGGCCATCCAAGGCACAACAATTGTTTTCTATTCACCTGGAACAACAGAGGAAGAATATGGAATGTGTGGCTAATTGCTTCCATGAACAACTACCTCCTTTGTCATGAGACCAGAAGAACTAGATGGTGCCTGGCTACCATTACTGAATATTTTGATCAAAGAGTCCACAGAAGAATCCTGAGCAAAAGGGGATAATGTAGAACAGATTTCAAAATATTATGGACTCTAGACTTTCTGGAGCCATGGAGGGTGAATGAACCCCTAAGACTATTGCCCTGAGATAATCTTTAAACCTTAAACAAAAGATATATCCTGAGGTCATCTTAAAACTGAACAATAGTTTAAGTAGTGAAAAAGGTCTACCTTGAAGAGAATGAAGAGAACAGGATACAAGGAAAAGATTAGTCCGAAGGACTAATTGTCCACAGCTACCAAGACCTCCACCAGACTGAGTCCAGTACAGCTAGATGGTGCCCGGCTACCACCACTGACTGCTCTGACCAGGATCACAACAGAGGGTTCTGGACAGAGCTGGAGAAGGATGTAGAGCATAATTCTAACTCACAAAAAAAAAGACCAGATTTACTGGCCTAAAGGAGACTCGAGAAACCTCGAGAGTATGGCCCCTAGACACCCTTTTAGCTCAGTGGTGAAGTTACCTCCGAGGTTTGCTGTTCAGCCTGGGAGTGGACAGCCCCGTAAAACCAAATGAGACTAACGAGGTACAGGAGTCCAGTGACAAGGGCCAGAAGGCAGAAGGGGACAAGGAAGCTGGTGATAGGGAACCCAAGTTCGAGTAAGGATATTGTTGATGTGTTGTGAGATTGTTAACCATTGTCATAGGGCAACATTTGTAGTAACTGTTAAATGAGAAACTATTTTGTTCTGTAAGCCTTCATCTTAAGTGAGAATAACAGCACAATTGGAAGAGCGTAGTCAATGTCACTGAACTGCGTATGTAGAAATTTTTGAAATGGTGTATCTTTGGCTATGTGTATTTTCAACAACAACAACAAAAAGATTGAGAAGCTAGAGGGTTAATATGTTGTGGGGTTGTTAACCAATGTCATAAAACAACATGTGTACTACTGCTTCAGGAGAAACTATTTGTTCTGTACGCCTTCACCTGAAGTACAATTAAAAAAAAAAAAATTACAGAGTAAAATGAATAAAACATGTTGGGGTAAAATTTCAGATACTAATTAGAAGTAGAAATTTTCTTAGGCCTGGAGTTTTTCTTTCACCTATATACATAAGGCCAGCCCTAGTTAAAGCATGTTATTGTCCAAATATTTTATATATATATCTTAAAATTCCTTTTACTTTTGCCATAACCTGTATTTAAATACCGTTCTCCCACATGAGTACAACATGTCTGGAAGGTGCTAACTGATCCAAATTAAATGCAGTAAAACAATTACTTCTCAGCTTTTAGATGCCATATTTCTTTCTTAAATATAAACTAATTAAATAAAGTGTTACATTTACTCTGTAAGAAAAAAAAGAAAAAGGCTACCTTGAGCATTCTGCTTTTTTAAGAACTATTTATATGGGATCAGATTGACAACAGCAACTTGAAAGATTGGATGGGAGCCTTAGAGGGCAATGAGTTTATGTTAATGAGGGAGGAACAACTCAGAAAAGGAAGGTAAGAATGGTTGCACAACTCAAAGAATGTAATCAATGTCGCTGAATTGTACATGTAGAAACTGCTGAACTGGTGATGTTTTGCTGTGTATATTCTCAACAACAAAATAAATAAAATTTAGAGAAAAACAAAAAAGATTACAGCCAAGAAAACCCTACGGGGGAAGTTCTGCTCTGTCACATGGGGTCACTATGAGTCGGAATCAACTCAACAGCACACAACAACAACAAAATACATAAAATCTCTGGAAGGATCTAGAAGAAATGACACAGTTGATGGAGACACAGTGAGTAGATAGAGACAAAGGAGTGGCAGGGAAAGAGGTACCCTTGTCCTTTTGTGCTCTTTGGATTTTATATCATGTACATTTATCAAACTGCTCAAAAAGCAAATATTTTTGTAAATCACATTCACTCCTCTTGTTCTGAACCTACACTTGCCTAGCAACCCTCTGGCATAAATTGTTTTCCCTTGTAGACCTTCCTGCACTGACCAATCAACAAGTCCACTTGGCAGTCATACCCTCATGGAGTTTAATAAATGGACTCTGTTGTTGTTAGTTGCTATAGAGTTGGCTCCAACTCATGGCGACCCCACGTACAACAGAATGAAACACTGCCCAATCTGACATCATATTCATGATCGTTGGTATGCTCAAGTCCATTGTTGTGGCCACTGTGTATTTTGAGTGCCTTCCAACCTGGGGGCTCATCTTTCAGCACTGTATCAGACAATATTCTGTTGTGATCCATAGAGTTTTTGTTGGCTAATTTTCAGAAGTAGATTATCAGGCCTTTCTTCTTAGTCTTGTCTTAGTCTGGAAGCTTCACTGAAACCTGTCCACCATGGGTGACCCTGCTGGTATTGGGAACACTGGTGGCATAGCTTCCAGCATCACAGCAATATGCAAGTGACCACAGTATGACATACTGACAGGCAGGTGGTGGCAACAGGCTCTAAACTTATATATTTGTCCTTTAGTGAGTCTTGGTTCACATGACTAGGTTCCCACACAATGTCTGTGGGAGAGCAAATAAACAGAGATTTCTAGACTGGTAGAGTGAAGGACAGAGCAGAAGAGCCCACGCTATGCCTCATAGGCTATGGGCATTGAATAAACATTTTCTAACTAAAAGATAGTGGGGGGCGGGGAAGGGGAGATAGACTACAAATATCTAAAGCAAATCAAAAGGCAAATAGACTGGTAACATATTTTATACAAATATTACTGAAAGGTGTTTATGTTCTTCATACATAAAGAACTCAGGAAAATAAGAAAAATTGGGAAGACCCTGCGAAGAATGGGGAATGGACATGAATCAACTATTTTGAAGAGGAAATACAAATGCCTAATAAACATGTTAGTAATGATGGAAATACAGATTTCTATCAGTTTAAATTACACCAGTATAACTTCGTGTTAACTGATAACATTTTCAATGACCTTATTTCCAAACAAAGGAGCCCCGGTGGTGCAATGGTTAAGCACTCAGCTGCTAACGGAAAGGTCAGCAGTTCAAACACACCTGTGGCTCCGCGGGAGAAAAGACCTGGAGATCTGTTCCCATAAAGATTACAGCCTAGGAAACCCTATGGGGCAGTTCTACTCTGTCACTATGAGGCAGGTCGCCATGAGTTAGAATCAACTCAACAGCATACAACAATTTCCAAACAAGGTCACATTCACAAATACCAGAATTAGGACTTGAACATAAATTTTGGAGGGACACAATCCATAAGACCTACCAACAGGGTGAGTCACTGGGAAGTGGGCACAGCCAAAAAGTACAATTTCTCCCTTTCTATTAGGGATTTGGGGCAGGGGGTGGAGTAATAAACTCAACTTCAAGAGTATCATACATAGCTTCTCCTTGTGGCCCACAGCTCCCAAAACAAAAATACCCTTCAAGGGTATATTTCCTACAAGGAACAGAGTAGACTTTCTACTTTTTTAATATGATAAATACATGATATTAAAAATGATACAAATCCTCAACAGCAAGAAACATTATGAACAGATAAGAGAGTCTTCCAGCTAAATCTTACAAACCAGTAGTGGAATGGATACTTCCCTAGACTAGAAATCAAAACATTCCAGTCCGGTCCTTCCGTTGACCACCGTATGTGTGGTCCTAGGCAAGTCACACTGCCTCTCTTAGCTTCCATTTCCTCTGTTGTAAAATGGAGATAAGAGAATCTACTCCAAAAATTTGTGAGGTAGACAGGAATTAATCAGATAAAGTGTCAGGCCTCAATTATTTAAAAAAAAATCACCCAAGCAAGGGTGAGCTGGCTAGACATCTTTGGGATTTACATTCATTGGCAACACTGATGGGTGCCCAACCCTCTTCTAGACATGAGGGAGGTGGGTAATCTAGATGGAAGGCCCCCAGCCCCTCCAACCCTGAAAGTCTTAGCATGGAATACTGTATAAACAGTTACCATCAAGCTGACTCCAACTACTGGTGACCCCACGTGAATCAGAGTAGAACAGTGCTCCACAGAGTTTCCAATGGCTGATTTTTCAGAAGTAGATCACCAGGAGTTTCTTCCAAGGTGCTGCTGGGTGGACTCGAACGTCCTTTTGGTTAGCAGCTAAGCACGTTAACCATTTGCACCACTCAGGACGCTTACTAAATTGTCACTATCCTCAGCACTGTC